GGTGTGAATGGTTTTCGAGTCAGAGTAAGACTTCATATTCCAACATATAGGGCATGGACAACACATAAAACCATTCTGCTTGTTTGCCTCAGCCACTTCGAGAAAATTATGCACGCCCTTAATATACTCGGAGGTGTGTCTGTCGCCGTACATCCATTGCCGGTTCATCTGCGTGCATTATATATAATTAAGTGTGTCAAAAACCATTACGGAACATCATGAATAGATAATTAAGTGACCAAATTAATAGAAGTTCATCATCACATTAAAACCAAAGTACATACATAGTTCTCATTGAACAACATATAGCTCTCTATAGCATCTAATTTAATTAATTAAACCATACATTGAAACTATGCAAAACATTTCAATGCAAAAACAAATGCGATCATAATCACAACCAAGATAAATATTGATCGAACAACATAATGATACCAAGCCTCGGTATGAATGGCATATTTTTTAATCTTTCTAATCTTCAAGCGCATTGGATCCATCTTGATCTTGTGATCATCGACGACATCCGCAACATGCAACTCCTATATCATCTTCTCCTCCTTAATTTTTTTATTTCTTCCTTCAAGAAATTGTTTTGTTCTTCAACTAAATTTAACCTCTCAACAATAGGGTCGGTTGGAATTTCCGGTTCACATACCTCCTAGCTAAATAAAATCTATGTCACGTTGGTCGGCATAATTGTCATAAATAATAAATGAACCAAATAGTTATAAAATATAATATATATACCACATCCGAATCATAGACAGGACGAGGGCCGACGGAGGCGGATAACAAAACCATCGCACTATATAATAAGAAGCAATAATAAAAGTAAGAAAATTATACAAGTATCTATCTAAACATACAAGTAAGAATTTTTTCCTCTCAGAAAGAAGATAAGAACAAGAGGCTCACCATGGTGGTGCCGGCGACGAGATCGGCGTGGGCAATCGACGGTGGTGAAGACGGGGACGGGACATGACAGACCGCTAAATCTAGACAAATATTGAGGAAAATGGAGCTTGGAGGTCGAACTTGGAGAGGAGAAAGCTTAAGTAGTGTGGCTCGGGCATTCCATCGAACACCTCATGTGCATAGGAGGTGAGCTAGAGCACCACAAAGCCCTCCCCTCGCCGGCCAGAAAAAACAGAGCAGTGTAGAGTGCTCTGCTCGCAGGCGACGGGGTATATATAGGCACATCATTGGTCCCGGTTCATGGCTTGAACCGGGACTAAAGGACACCCTTTGGTCCCGGTTCAAGCCACCAACCGGGACCAATGGTGGTGGGCCAGGAGCAAGGCCCATTGATCCCGGTTCATCCCACCAACCGAGACCAAAGGGGCCAGACGAACCGGGACCAATGCCCCCACGAGGCCCGGCAGGCCCCCTGGCCTCACGAACCGGAACCAATGCCCCCATGGGTCCCGGTTCATGACTGAAGCGGGACTAATGGGCTTATCTGGCTTGAACGAAAGCCATGTTTTCTACTAGTGTTTTGCATATGTTTACGGATGGATACTTGATGATGCGCTCGGTTCATGCCGTTGCGGATAGTTACCTTCTCTTGCTGATTTCCCCAAATCATGCACGTAGCTATTTTAGTATCGGTTAGGCAACCCCCTTTGTGAAAAGTATATATGTATGTCACCTTTTGTGTGAGTGAAATGACCATCAGCATTGTACTGGACCATATGCCCTTTGTACTAAATTTGATGTTTTCTACTGAACCGTATTTAACTTCGTAATGCATTTTGATTCTTTGTACAGGATTAATGCTTCCCTGAGAAACAACATGCGCTGATCATTGCCTTAGACAGTCACGATGCACCAAGGCGCTTCCTACTGGATTACTATTAACAAGTGTTGGCTTCCCCATGTGTCTGTGAAATCCTAATGCTGCATCAATGGTCTTAGTGTTTTCTTATGTATCTATTTGCCGCCACTCTACCTCTTTCTCTTTCTGTACCACCTTCATTGTAGTTATAGATGCAACGTTTGGTCGCTTGATGGCTTTATTACCAAGTTGTCAGACATAAGGTTGGACTGCTTTGAGTTTTAATTATGATGAAAATGCCCATTGGATTGTTGCATCCTCGTGTTATTCTTACACCTTAGTTCTGATAGCTTTATTACCAAGTTGGATATGACCGTACCCGGATACGTCTGCACCCGGCACGGGTGTGGGGGTGCGGCAAGCCACACTTTCCATCTAGTTTATAACATGTTGCCTAAATAGATGATACCTGGTTAGTGCTAGTGCTTAATATAATGTAATTCATGTGATCCAGTGCAATATTGTTTTCTATCCATATGATCTGTGAAAAGGATCGGGTTCCACTATCAACTATCAAGTGATAATGGAAGAGAGAAAAAATACACAAGCATCCTGAATCGCCGCGACAAAAGGCTAAGAACAACCAAATGGCACAGAGCTCTCGAGCAGCTAAGGGCCAGTTCTTTTGAGGCTTCTGGAGCTTATTGTGAAAATAAGTCAGAAGCCCAAAGAACCTGTTTTAGGCTTGGGGCTTAACTTATTTCCACCCCCTCTCCCTTACAATGAGAAAAAGCTGTGGGAAGGGGTGCTTCCCACAGAAGCCCGCTTAAAATAAAAGGGTAGATCTCTTTGCCACTTAAGTTCATGCATATTACAATGAAACTGCCACCGAGCAAGTCCCCACTCACCCCCAACTAGCCCGTACGTGGGGAACATTCACGCATCCCTCCCGCGCCATACACTCTCCCCCGACTGAAGCTAGGGTTCGTTCAAGGCAGCCGCCGCTGCCGCTCCCGGCCTTCCCCTCCAGTGACGCAGCAGCTCCCCGCCCTTCCCTCCGGCATCGCCGCTCCCCACCCTTCCTTCTGATGCCTCCGCTCCCCTCCCTTCCCTCTGGTGCCTCCGCTCCACACCATTCTGTCAATCGCCCCCACAGAGCGTTTTGATTTTCGGTTTGATATTTTTTTTGCCGCAGGTCGAGATGGCTGGATTTCGTCCATTTTCAAAAATTTCAGCTGAAATTTGAGTGAAATTTGAAGCAAATTTGCCAAATTTGACCAATTTCGACTGAAAGATACATTTCGCCCCACGCCGAGATGGCCGAAATTCGGCCGAAATCCGTTTTTTTGGCTGAAATTCAAAACACAACCCCTCACCCGCCATGGACAGCCTCAGCTAGCGCCATCCATCATGATGCTTCTCCCGCCCTATGCCGCCGGCTGCCACCTGTCATCTCGTCCCAGTTCGCTGCCTCCCAGACCGAGCTACCCCGGGCCAAGCTCCGGCGGTGTTTTGACCTCGACTCTGGCCATCTAGCTCGTATGTATGAACATTTTTTATTGAGACTGAACATCGACGACAGACAGCATTCTTTATTGAGACTGGAATTTTTTAGTGTGTGCGCTTGTGTATGTTATGTGAGACAATGAGCATATTTGATAGATAGTAATTGAGACTGAACATATTTGATAGTTGTAGACAGTGAGCATTTCGTATGAGGTGCTTTGGGCAGATTGTGCAAGTAGACTAGATGGTTTATATGTAGCCATGATTGGCATTGATTTGGTTAGCGCTCTAGGGTGTACGCTGTTA